CAAACTCCTGGGCTCAAGTGATCTTCCGGCCTCAGCCTCCCGAGTAGCTGGGACTACAGACATATACCACCACGCCCAGCTAATTTTTCTATTTTTAGTAGAGACGGTGTCTCGCTCTTGCTCAGGCTGGTCTCAAACTCCTGACCTCAAGTGATTCTCCAACCTCAGCCTCCCAGAGTGCTAGGGTTACAGGCATGAGCCACAGTGCCTGGCCTAATTTAATTTTATTTTAATGAATTTAAATTTAAATAGCCATGCTTGGCTAGTAGCTACTATTTTGGATAGTGCAGCTCCAGAGTATGAGCTCCATGAGGACAGAAATTTTTTTTCCCTTTTGTTAAATAATTGTGCTTAGAATAGTGCCTGGGACATAGTAGATACTCAATAAATGTCGTCTTCTTTGTACATGTTCAGGAGTGCCTGTCAATAGAGTGCTGGTGAAAAGAAGGCACCATAACTGACCATTCACTGCCCCCAAGTTATGAGTACTTACTTTCTTAGGGAACCTGCAAGGAGCCATTCGCTGACTAACTGCCAATGGGTAAAAATATATCCAACTGTGCTGCCCTTCCTAGAATGTGACACCCTAATTGTGTCCAGTTCTGGGCACCAGAAGCTGAGAGGAATAAAGAACTTCTAAGAGGAATCAGAGAGCCACAGAGCCGACAAAAGATTAGAGAATTCCTGTGAGGAAAAGCTAGGGAAGTTCCACTGTTAGGCCAATGAGGCAACTTTGAGTACATAAAGGGTAATGATGCAGAGGCTTCGAGTGACTTCTCTCCAGCTCTGTAAAGAGTTGAGCAGACAGGGCTCTAACAGCCTCCATAATTTAATTCAAGTGAGAAGGTCATGTAGGCATTGGAGGCATTATACTGTCTTCTTTCCTGGATGTCTTTAAAAATGGAGACAATTCTCAGTGGTCTGGAATAAAACTCCTGGAAACAGAGAGATGTCCATTATGACCTTTAGAGAGAGGTCAATGGCTCCAGCATGGAGATCTGCCAGGCCAGGCGATGCAAGGCGGGGCAGTGGCACTGGACACCTCCCAGGGGCAGAGCACAGCTGTTGGAAAGCCCAGCCAAGAACACACTGATGGCGTTACCCTCAGAGAGTGAGAGAATTCCAGAGCTGGAAAAGGTCTCCAGATTATCTACTCCAAACCCCTCATTTTACAGATGAGGAAACTGAGACTTAGAGAACAGAATGACTTATCAGAGCTTACCTGGCTAATTAGTGACAGGGCCAGGACTCGGACCAAGAGTTCCAGATTCCTAATCTAAGCCCCTTTTCACTCCATAACACTAACAAGCATTAGCAAAATAAAGTGCATACAACTCTATTCTAGACTCTGGATACAGGACTGGGGTGTAGATAAGCTGTCTTCTAGGTGCTTGATGTCCAAGACACTGAGTCATGGAGAAACATACAACAAGTGAACAATTAACATGATCAGCTCGCTGCTTAGTAAGAATGATTACATTGTGTATAAGCCAAAGGTAAGTGCACAGGAAACTGGGCCTGAGCAGATGATGTGGGAGATGAGAGTTTCCAATTTCTCACCTCCTTTTCTAACTAAAGCATGTTTCCCAGAAAGAAATTTGAAAATCACAGGATGAGGAAATTGTATTTCACTCAAGACAAGAGGTGTCATAAAATGTGATGAAAGCTGGAGAAGAAAACAATTCAAGCTATCTGAAATGCCTCTGGTCTTTAACACTGAGAAATGGCAGTATCAACAGATGACAAAGGGAAACACCAGCGGGGAAAGAGTAGAGATTGATAAGGGAAGTGGAGGGTACTTTTCTCTGGGCTCCAGCCAGGACTGTCAGCATTGGCCCAGCCAGTGCTATTGCTGGAAGGAAATGTGCCTTTGGGGGAAGAGGAATTAGGCTGGCAGTACTATGGGACAGCAGCATGGCCCCTTCTTGGTGGAAGTTATCCCCTCCAGCTATACCTCCACAGAGGCAGGAAACCACTGGAAGTTAGCAACAAGGAAACAAGATCAGATGAGTAGATCAAAGGAGAAATGAAAAGCATTCCAGACATGCCTGATCTAGATTGGTGCAGGGGAATCTATTGCTGAGGGTTCCTCTCCCTTGGGGAGGAAATTCAAGTCTAGCTTTGAGCTGGAAGTTCTCAAAAGCCTGAATTGCACAGGTTTGGTGTTAGTCATCATCTTAAGGAGGCTACCTGTGGTCCCCAAGGTCATTCCCTGTTTACTTTCTGTCTCTTCATCTCCCTCCCTCTCAGACACTACTCAAAGTCAACCTTATTCATTTGGCTATTCAGTTCAGCACGCTGTGCAATGAACACAGCACCCTGAAGCTGGCAGACAAATGGAAACCATGGGTCTCTGCCCAGGAGGAACTTGATTAAAGGGAATCCTCGCTCCCTCCAGCTCCCACCCTCAATATCTGCACCTGCTGAAAGTCAAGGGGTGGTTCATTACCTTGGCCAGTTGAGGCCTTCTGACTCTCAAAGAGGCTTCACTCTCTCTCAGCTCTTTGCTATTTTCGCCTTCGGGTCCTGCGGCTCCTACAGCGGGGAGACAGGAGCCCTGGTTCGCTGCAACAACGAAGCCAAGGACGTGAGCGCCATCCTTGTTTCATTCGGCTATCCCTTCAGGTGAGCCCGAATTAGTCCTGACCCAGCACAGCCTTTCTCGCTGGATGGGCAGGACCTGCTTGGTCTCTTCCTCCTCCGGAAACCTAAAGACCATTGTTGTGTGCCACTCCAGATTCAAACAGAACTGTAAGACTTGGGTCCCTTCTGCCCTTTTGCAATTTAAGACACACTGACCAGAGAAAAACATATGGGAAGCACAGATCATTGTTATAATAACGTCCCAGTCCATAGATAAGCAATAGCAGGTCACATCGGCTCAGACAGAAAGAATCCATGCAGTTCGGGATGGAAGCGTACAAGGGTCTGGGCAAGTTGGGCAGGGCTCTCCGACCCTCGGCAACTTCCTCTCTGCCTTGAAGGTAAGGAAGTAAAGAGTCGATGTGGGATGCTCACCTGGTACCACCAGAATACAAGGAGGCACACCTTGACCGGGAGGTAGAAAAGAATACTCTTTTCTGGGTATTTGGGAGCTTAGGGAGTGGGGAGCTTAAATGTTCAGAGAAGAATGGAGCAGGGCTTAGCTTTTCAGAAATTTCTGGTATCAGCACCTAAGTTAGATTAACTGTCTCTTGTACATAATAGGCTGTGGTTTTCTCTTTATTTTGTCCAATATAGTCTCATTGGAGAGCCTAAATAAGGCCTGAAAATGGGTGATTCCAACCTTAACTTGGCCTCCGTAGGCCTGTGCTTTTCAGGGGCAGAATGAAGCTGATCTGCCTGGTGGTTTGGCTACCCAAAAGAGAAGAACTACATATATTGTGTGGTGACCCAAAGGGCCGCGGAAATACTTGGAAATATATGTCTGGGCAGGGTGGATGAGTGGGGGGCGGTGGCTGAGGGTTTGACTGGAATCTCTGGAAAGTACCTGTCTTGACTACAAGGTTCCCTCCAGAAATATTCATTCCTGCATGACCCACCCCTTTCTTGGCTCTGTAAGAGTCTCAGGGTGAGAACTAGCACAGGACTACTCCTGGGGCAGGGAGAAAGAAGAGTGCTTGAGCTCAGGATGTCCTCCCCTGCCACCTCCAGGTTGCACCGGATCCAGTATGAGATGCCCCTCTGCGACGATGACTCCACCTCCAAGACCATGCATCTCATGGGGGACTTCTCTGCCCCTGCTGAATTCTTTGTGACCCTTGGCATCTTTTCCTTCTTCTATACCATGGCTGCCCTAGTCCTCTACCTGCGCTTCCACAACCTCTACACCGAGAACAAGCGCTTTCCACTGGTGGTGAGTGAGCACGGCCAGAAGGAATCGGGTGGAGAAACTGAGGAGATGTTTATTAAGGGGCTAAGGTCAGAGCTGGAGGGGAGGACATACACGGCGGCTTTCCTGGGTCCTTGACACAGGGAAATATGGAACCTCTGCTTCTATCAACCCCCTGTCGCTTGCTCCTGCTCACAGGAGGCACAATAGCAGCATAAAGAAGCAGGCTGTGGAGTTAGACTACCTGGTTTCAAATCCCAGCACTATCCTTACTAGCTGTGTGATCTCGGACAAGGTACTCAGCCTCTCTAAATCAGCTGCTTCTACTATAAAATGGGGATAAAATAATACCTGCCATATGGGGTTTTTTTGGTGATAAAATGAGAATGCATGTAAAGTATCGGGTATATCTTGGCTGAATCTTCTTGCCTGTCTTTAAAAAAAAGTATCTTGTACATAGTTAGCCTCAATAAGTCTTAGCTATTATTAATATTTTTCTTCTTTAGTCTTTCCCTAGTCTAGGCATGCAAGGTGGAAGGGGTACCTTAGGGCACCCCATTTGCCTCTGCAGTCTGCCCTCTGCCACCACTTATAGCTGAGCAATGGCAACCAAAAGAAAAGCTGGGAGTTTGGGCCCCACTCTTGGAGTGAATGAGTTTTGGGGTGAGGCTGACCAGCAGATGCCATTTGGTACATTGTTGCCTGACCTTGGATCTGAGGGCATGGGCAGCTTGAGTGGCAGGACTGCTTTGGTGGCAGTGAACAGATTCCTCAGGACAGTCTGGGTCCCCTGATTCCCCTGATGACCTGGTCTCTAGGTGTTGGGTAGGATGTGAAGTGATGGCTTCCTGTGACCCCCGCATTCTATATCAGGGCAAGAGGAAAAGAAGTGGGGACTCATAGGGCCTTTCTGAGTGTACTTCCCATCACTTTGCTCCTCCCAGGACTTCTGTGTGACTGTCTCCTTCACCTTCTTCTGGCTGGTAGCTGCAGCTGCCTGGGGCAAGGGCCTGACTGATGTCAAGGGGGCCACACGGCCATCCAGCCTGACGGCAGCGATGTCCGTGTGCCATGGAGAGGATGCAGTGTGCAGTGCCGGGGCCACGCCCTCCATGGGACTGGCCAACATCTCCGTGGTGAGACTGCAGCCACTGAAGGGGTCTGGGGTGGGGCAGTACTATCCCAGCTGCCCAGGCCTGTCCTGGGCAGCAGGTGCTGAGAGGAACAGAGAGAGTGTCACCAGAGCTGGCATCCCCTGCACCTGTAGCTGGCGCCTACCCTGCACATGATGCTGGCTGCTGGCCCCTGGCTGACCCTGAGAAGACATCTGGGATGAGGGGAACCCAAGAACCATTTAGCCTCCTGTTCCTTCCTCCTTCTGCACTCTGCCTCCCATTTCCCTTCTTGTCTCCCCACCTCTCGGCATGCTCTCTGTGCTGCCTCCCGCTTGCACGTGTGAGCACATGAAGTGGGGCACAGGGCTGTGGCTGAGCTCCAAGCTGGGAACAGACCCATAGTGAGGGAGAAGGGGCTCACTGCTGCTTAGCCCTCCAGACTGGAAAGGGGCTTTGGGACACTGGTAGGCCCAACTGGTGTGCACATGGTTGGCCATCCCAATTGTTAGGACCTTGAAATACGCCCATATCGGCTGGTACGTAGCTGAGACCTTGAGCTTCTCGAATGCTGCCTGTCATCCCAGCCACCTCAGCCCTGCTCTGAAAATGACTTGGACCTCCCCAAGGCCCACAATTGAAATGTTTAATGGCTGGCATGCCAGGAAGCCTTCTGAAACTTGCTACAACCCTGCTGATTTCCTTCCAACATTTTATTGTAAAAATTTTCATATGTATAGCAAAGTTGAAAGAATTTTACAGTGAACACCCACATACTCACCACCTAGACTGTGCCATTAATATTTTATTATACTTGCTTTATCACCTATCTATTCACCTCTTCATCCATCAATCCATCTTGGTTTTTTGTCATTTTTTTATTTATATATTTTTAAATTTCAGAATATTACAAGCATACAAATATTTTGGTTACATAAATTGCCTTAGTACCATTTGATTCAAAGTTATAAGTGTGCCCATCACCTGGCTAGTGTGCATTGTACCCCTTAGTTGTGAATTTACCCATCCCCTTCTCCCCCCGCCACCTGCTGGATTTCTGATGAATGTTATTCCCATATGTGCACATAAGTGTTGATCAGTTGGTTCTAATTTAATGGTGAGTGTGTGTGGTGTTTTGCTTTTCCATTCTTGTGACACTTTGCTTAGAAGAATGGTCTCCAGTTCCATCCAGGTTAATACAAGAGGTATTAGTTCACCTTTTGTTTTTATGTCTGATTATTCATCTTGTTTTTAATGCATTGCTAAGTTAATTGGAGACATCAGCACACTTTCCTCTAACTACTTCCTGCTGTTAGGTTTTAAAATATTTTGGATAAATATTTGAACATAGCCCTGGCTGGGTCCCTGGTCCTGGGGAAGGAGCACCTTGGACAGCTCCTGCCACACCCACCTGGCAGAAGGTGCTCCTAACACGGCCCCACCTGTGCTGTGGGACACGCCTCCAGCTGACCCTTGGCTCCTTGCTATGATTTGCATGGTGCTCTGCTCTAGTCCAGATTCTGCTGGTGACCAAGCTATATCTTGGGTGCATGCTGTGGACAAAGTCAGACACTTTCACCAGGGATTCCCTTAATGGATGATGGCCTTGAACCCTGCCTCTATATCCAGTTATCTGTCTTTTGGTCTTTCTCGCCCTCTGTGCTTCTTCCCTGTCCCCCCACTACCACCACAGGAACTCCCCCCTCCCTGTCCCCATGATGTCCCCCTTACTATTCTCACAAACTCCCCTGATGTCTTTGCAGCTCTTCGGCTTTATCAACTTCTTCCTGTGGGCTGGGAACTGTTGGTTTGTGTTCAAGGAGACCCCATGGCATGGACAGGGCCAGGACCAGGGCCAGGGTCCCAGCCAGGAGAGCGCAGCTGAGCAGGGAGCTGTGGAAAAGCAGTAAGCAGCCCCCACCTGGCTACTCCCGAACTGGACAGCACCTCTTCAACCACCTCCGGCTTCCAGGACCTCCCTCTTCCTCCTCGTCCAATTCCCCTCCCCCATCATTCCGGGCTTTGAGCTTTGAGACACTGATGGGCAGGCGTCAGCTGTTGGAAACCTGGGCAGCCCTCCCCGTGGCTTCCTATCCCTCTTCTTGCTGGAGTCATAGATAGCAGGAACTCAGTGCTTCTTGTCCACTGCCTGGACCCAGGCATCTGACTTGGGGTCTCACTTGTGCTCTCGCAGCCTTTGAGAACCAACCTGTGCTGCAGGAGAGGGTTGGGAGCAGGAAACTGGAGATCTGAGACTGGTTCCTAGCAGCCATCCTTATATCAACCTGTCCAGCTTGAATAATAGTGGGGGAAAGGGAAATCAATGAGCAGCCTTCCCCCTGGTCCCTTGTGTGGAAGCCCCAGCAGTGGCGTGGTGACCCCTCCCCAATGGCTGTCATTTAGTCCCTGTGTTTGATCTCCAGTCAGCCCAGGGCTCAGTGTGCTTCCCACTATCTTTTCTGGCCTCTGGTTGCCCACAGGGTCCATCATGTGTGAATGACGGTGCCCAACTGGCATAGAAAACAGCCCTTTAGAGGGTCCTGATGAGGCTTGGGCTCAGCCAGGAGCAGATAAATTGCAACTGAGTTGCACCTTCAAGAAACCAAAGCCTGCAAATTTGAGGCAGAATCAGTTTCTTGTATCCCTTCAGTCCTCCCACCCCCAAGGCTGGAGTACTTCCAACCAACACTCTAAACTCTACTTATGCTAGAAACCTCCTACTTTCCTCCCTGTCCTTTTCGGGCTTGGTCTCACACTTGGGACATAAGGTGTGGGGTCTAGGACCCACCCTCCTGTCCCCAACCCCTCTGTCCATCTCCCTTCCGCAGCCTCATGGGTCTGAGGCACTCAAGATCTTTTTTGAAGTCTGTCCAGGCCTTCCTTTTATTCCTGTGGGGCCAGATAGGGGCTTTTTAAGGGCCCAAAGGACCTTCATGAGGCTAAGCTGCCCCAGAGCCCCAGGACATAGATGGATGGATGGGCCCATTTCTTCCTTACTCCCTGCTCAATTTTCTTTTCCTCCTCCTTCTGTAATCCTTCATTCATATTTGCCCTTCTCATCTTTACAAAAGGATGTGCCCTCTCCCTTTGCCCTAGCATTCCTCCCAGAGTCCTCATTTCTCCCAGGCTCTATCCCCTCCCCAGTCCAGGGCAGGCCGATGCTATTGGTGCTTCTTCACTTTGGGACCCAGTTCCATATTTGTCTTTGGTGTGTCTCTTCTTCCTGATACCTCCTTCAGTCCCTCTCTGGACCCCAAGGCCTAAGAGTCAGTGCTCCCTGGGTAAGGACCATCCACCTCCTACCCAGCTCGAAACACCTCAATTTGCCCTGGCCACAGGGCTGCCCAGGGAAGGATGAAGAGGTACGAATGCAGCCATTTTCCAATTTAGTGCCAACTGGCCCGCTTAGCATCCCAAAGGTGACTGTGCCCTGTGCCAATCTTTCCTCAGGACTGAGTCAACCCCTTCAACCTCCTCACCTCCCTGAACACCATCCATAGTATAATAACATGTGCGTTACTGGGGTACTCATGGGTCGGGACCTTTGACTCCAGGCCAATCATTTCCTCTTTGGATCAGTTTCCCCACTTGACAGGGGAAGTGTGAGATTTATATCCCCAAATGCTCCAGAGTCCTTCAGTGAAAGAATTAAGTTTTTCATTTTGTTTTTTAGATTTTGAGGAAGGGATTTGAGGCGGGAAGAGAGGAGATGGGGTGAGAGTGTTTCTAAGTCTGAAACTTTCTCTCTGTCCTCAGCTGTCCCCATGGTTACTCAAGGACAAGGGGGGGACAGTTTTGCCTGTGGCTTCAGAGACACAGAGAACAAAGGGGTGACCTTCATGTCTTCAGGCCAGCCCCTGTGGGGGTCTGTGAGCAGCTTCTACTGGAACTTTGTTTGGATTCTATGTCTGTATTTATAATTTATTTGAAATGTGCTGAATAAATTGTTCTCATTTGGGGGCTGAAGTTAGCAACCGGCCCTGAAGCTAGGGAAAGGGGGGTATATTCACTCTTGCCAAGGACTCCCAGCCCAGAACTTTCCCGAGAGCAAAGAAGGCTCTTTCTCCTTCTCCTCAAGAGGCTGTCTTGTTCTCGGCCAGAAGAGCCTTGATGTAGACTATGGCCTCTCTCTCCATGGCCACCCTAAGAGGAAGGCCCCTTTGCCTCATTACCTCTAGGGGGCTGGGCTGGGCCAAGTGCAGAGGGCTGAGCTGTCCTCATGGGACTCATGTCCTCTTCAACCAGGGCTGGCATCACCCCTTTTCCTAGTGAGGCCTGAAGTAGAGGAAGCTGTCTGGTTTCCCAGCTACTGCAGGAGGCCAACAGCAGGGCACTTGCCCTTTGCCCCAGTAGACTCTAACCCTGCCAGGGTGCCCACTTAGGACCTTTCCTGGACATGAGTTCCCTCTAATATCATGGTCATGAGTCTTCTGCTTCTGGGATTGCAGATCAGGGGTGGGGGGAGAATGTTGCATGTTGTTTTCTGGTGCTTGTTATTACACATTTGAATAAACAGTGCTGTGAGTATTTGCCATGAAGGAGCCAAGACTGCAGCCCTTCTGGGGACTTTTTTTCTCTTCTCCTCCCTTGCTTTAAGTTCTTGGACAAATATCAGCATTTCCACCAAGACATCATTCCATTCCTCTCCACTCTGTACACCAAGCAACAGAGTCCCCTGGCTGAGCAGTTGTTCCCGGCAGGTCCCAGTCTGGTGACATCTCCTCTTTTGGTGGCACCCTATTAATCCAGAGACTCATTAGCACATTTGGAGCAAACTCAAAAGGTGAGAGGCAGTGGCTTCCACAATGTTGTTTCCATTTGCTCTCCTACCATCTGTGACCCAAACGAGCTTCCTGTCAGGAGTTAAGGGCCATATGCTTCGCTCTCTTAACTATAAGGTTCTTGCTGAACAAACTTGCACCTCTATCCCTCCTCAGACAGCCTCACACTACATTTACATTCCCTAGAAAAATATATGTGGGCACAATTTTACATTCAATTTCACCAGGTTCCTGGACCTCCCAGGGATCATCTATGATTCTCAGGTTAAGAGTTTCTACCCTCAGAGATTATCCTTGAAGTACTTAAACCTTCCCTGAATGAAAATAAGAAAGTCTAAGGTCTTAAAGTCATAGACCTTGACTTATTTGCTTCCAAACTTGGTTTCCCCTTAGCTAAAGGGATGAGTATGGGGTTAAGTGTGAGGTGTTGAGAAGGGAAAAAAGGATTAGTATTTCTCTTTTGATGTGATTGGGGGGAAGGAGGAAGCAGACTTTTGTCTCTTAATTGTGTGACGGTAGGAAGAAATGGTATCAGCTGAGAAGAAGAAAGAGGTGGCTGATTAAGGTACTTTCCAGACCTTAGCAAGGAAAATGACAGATCTGATAAGCAGTCTCCCTATGCCGAGGATTCGGTAGCAGTCCTTCCAGCAGAGAAAATATTCATTAGAAAAAGAAGCCAAAGTGATGGATGGAGTCAGGGTCCAGCCAGGGTTTGGGAAGAGGCGGTACAGGCTATCGATCGCAGCTCTCAGGAGGAGAGAGACGATCAGCAAACATGCTGCAAACACCAGCAGCCTCGGGGCCACCCCAGTTCCAGGGCTGGCTCTGGCTCGGAGATAGTCTTCTGTCATCCTGACAGATGATCTCGCTCAGCTTAGCCAAGTCCTCCCAAACCCAGACAACGCCACTCCAACCCTTTGCTCTGCATCAGGTCAGTGTGGGTTTCCCACAAAGGAGGCAAGACACGGGAGCCGAGGCCCTCCCCCACTCCAACCCCTGTGTCCTTCAGCACATCCTACAGACTCCCTCCCCTTGCCCTTCTGATTCACAGCGCCCACCTCCCTGCACCTACCCTATTCGATCTACAGGGGAGCGGAGTCGCTTCGTGGCCGCCAGCCCGGGAAGGGGCACCAGCCAGCTGGCGGACGCACGGCTTAGAGGGGCGTCTGGGCAGAGAGAGGTTTGGGGCTGGGGTGCGTGTGCAGTGAGCTTGGGAGAGTGGACTGGTAGCACAAACAATGTGTGCACAAGGGTTAAAAGAGGAGATCCTGGGGCTTTGGTGTTCTCTTTTCCCCCTGCAATTGTGCATTTCGGAAGGGCTCTCGCTGCATGCTCGGTAAGCAATAGCGCCCGCTCCAAGACTACATTTCCCAGAAGGCAATGCGTGAGGGAGGGGGAGGGGACAGGCAACCTGTGTTGCGCTTGCGCAAGGAGTGAGTGGGAAAGGTAGGGGGGAGAGGGGAGGCGTGCCCGCGGCGGGGCGGGAGGGAGGGGGCCGCGCGGCGGCGGCGCCGGGGCGGGCGCGCGTCCGTGGCGGTGATGGCGGTGCGTGAACGCGCGGCGGCAGCAATGGCCGCTCTGGAGCGGCGGGTGCCGAGTCTCGATGACTTCGCGGGACAGAGCTGGAGCTCGTGGGTGGAGCGGGCCGACCTGCCCGCGGCCGACGGTGAGTGAAGCCACCCTGGAGTCCAGGGACCCCATCACTATCTCCCCTCCCCCCTTCCGGGCCCCCGCCAGCTGAGGGGAGCCGCCGACAGGAGCCGCCGTCCGGCTCCCCGGCCCCCCAAACAAAGGACCCGCCGGGTCCTAGTGCCCGCCCGATCCGGCACCTTCGCGCCTCCGGGTCCTAGCGCCGGCTCACCGCTCGCAGCCCACCCTGCCCACCTCTGCCTCTGCCAGTGCCCAATATCTGCCCCCACATATACTTGCCTTTATCTTTCTCCTTGCCTGCTGGTCTCCATCTCCCGCCCCTCCTGCACCTGCCTCCGGCTTTCCTCATCCGCAACAGTCCTCTCCACGTGTTTCCCACGCACCCCACTTCTGTGCCCCCCTCCTCACCCCTCTTGTTCCTTCGTCTTTTGCCCCACACCTCCTGCTCTTTTTTGGCGTTTGCCTGCCGGCTGCAGTGCTTTTAGACCCCCACCCCCTCCGCATTAGTTCGTCCGTCCATCCATCTATCTTCCCTCTGTCCCTCCATCCTCCGGTCCATCCATCCATGCCTTCAACCCTCCGTCCTTTCGCGAGCCTCTTGCCCAGCCTCTTGGCTCTCTCCTCTGACTCCCACCTTCTCTAGGCCCCTGAGTGTCTTTAGTGAGTGGGCCTACAGCCCCTTCTTCTGATCTTTGTCTCCTGGCCCCAGGGGACACCTGGCCTCGTGGCCTTTGGGGGTGACAGCAGGCATCACGCCCCTGAAGAAGTTTTCAAGTGAGAAGAGGTGGAGAAGGAGACCGCATGGAGGGGTCTCTAATGACACTTGTTCTCCTCTGAGACATCTGACTCCCAGCTCGGTTCTCACCATCATTCCCTACAGTGCATTTAACGGACTTGGAAGAGTGGGAGCTGCCCCTTGTCTCTTGCATGCCTAACCCACCACCCCTCATATCTGGTTATTATATAAGACTGTCAACAATCTTCTCATCCTAGAAAGGGGCCTATCTGTTAGTGGGCATCAGAGAGCAGACCTAAGCGGGAGCCCAGGCCACCCTGGGACTGCCCCATGCTGGGTGGGCAAGGATGGGGCCATTGTCAGGGTCTGGGTGCATTGAGAACCGGAAATGGAGTCAGACGGGTTTGGTGACTCAGAATTGATTTTTTTTCCAAGGGACAGGGAGGGGGCGTAGAGGAGGAAGGGGGGAGGAGTAAGGTAGGGGGATGGGGAAAGAGCTGTTTTGCACAGCTAAGATGTTTTTGTCATTAAACCAGAAACTGAGGTACAAGGGCAACCCCTGCCAAAAGCCTCCCTAAGAAGGGCAGGGGCTTGCATGGGTGACCAAGGAGATTTTGAAGATGCCAAAAGGCCAAAAGACAGCAGTTTCTCTGCTTTGTGACTATCCTTATCAGTGTAGGACCCAAGAAGCTGGGTGTAACTTTGATAATGCTGTGGAAACCCAGGTGAAGCAAAATTTAGTTCATAGGGGTGGACACCTGGGAGAGTGTTTGGGATGCCACCGAGCAGCAGACAGGACCCATTGAGAAATCTTAAGAGGGGTCTCAGGGATCTACAGAAAAATTTGTTAAGGACTGTTTCCCCTTTAAATGGGGAAGTAGGCCCAGAAATGAGATGATATTTACCCACAATCACCCAACTAGTCAGCAGTGGAACCCTGAACTGCACGTTGAGGTGAAGGAGCCGTAGGAAAGGTGGCTGGATTCTTCTTGATGGGGCCAGTCATTCCAAAGGTGGCAGGTGAAGGAAGAATGGGCACTTGAGAATGACCCACTGAAAGGTTCTCCGAGTGGTCCTCAGCACCAGGAGCTTGTGGGCTTCCTACTGCCAGGCTGCATGCCTTGCTTGGGTAGGAGATGGGGCTTCTGGGAAGGGGGTGGTCCTTCTGAGCTCTGTTTCTCCTCTAGGGGCTGAGCTGGAGGAGAGTAGCAAAAACACAAAGAAGTTGGATGCCATGACCCTCATTAAAGAAGGTGGGAGTCAACACACATTAGGGCTGGGACCCAGGGCAGACAGGAGACCCTCCCCTCTTCCATCACATGCTAGAAGGAGGTGGCTACTTGAAGCAGCAGGTCTGGGGATCCTCATTATGATAGGTCTGAGTCAGCCTGTCGCCCTGGCTCCTGTGACCTGTTGTTGGAGATCCTAATCATAGGTGATTGCCCCCCACTCACCTGAAAGTGTATGTACTTTGGGACTGCTTAGATTGAACTCTGGGAGCTGGGAGCATCCAGCATAAAGCCTGTCACATCAGTTGGGAGGTGAAGCGCCTTCTGAGCGGTGGGATGGGAGTGCTCTCTAATCTTACAGAGAAACCGTGGGATCCCGGCCCCAGTGATAAGGGCTTTTGTCATTGCAGACATGTCCATCTTCGGGCACTGCCCTGCCCATGACGACTTCTATTTGGTTGTGTGTAACCACTGCAGCCAAGTGGTGAAGCCTCAAGCTTTCCAGAAGCACTGCGGTGAGGGGAATCCTAGGGAGGAGATAGAGGGGACAGGGGAAGGTGGAATATGGAACTGTGAAGACAGGGTCAGTCGGGAGGTCATGTGGGGTAATGGAGGGTGGTGTTGGACATAGGGAGGTCCTGGGGGTGGCTTCAGAGCATTGTGGGGGGTCAGGGTTGTTGTTCGAACAAAATTCTAGCATCCAGTGGAGTTAAGGGAGGAGTTAAGAGGTTCAGGAAGCTGGGTCTAGAAGTTTGAGTCTTAAAGGCTTAAATTCGAATGGGAAAGAGGCAAATTTACCATCTAAACTATGGAAACCCAGATTCTCTAATGTGAGTCTATGGGCAGGGTTAGGAAGTTGGGGAAGGAGGAAGTTGGGGAAGGAGGCAGTTGATACCACTCACCTCGATTACTCTTTCCACCTCCTGGTGACAGAAAGAAGACATGGGCCCCTCAGCAAGCTTTATGCTCGGGCCCCACCCCCACCTCCAGCCCCTGCCAGCTCTCAGAAATGCCATGTAGTGAATGGGCAGGGCCCAGCTTGTAGGGCCCAAGGTTCCACCAAAACCTCCTCCAGGGAGAAGGGCCAGGGGTCCCGGAACCGTGGCCACCAGCCTCCTGAGAAGACCCAGAAGGACAACCTCTGGTAAGGAGAGGCTAGAGACTCCCTAAGACTGGCCTTGACCCCAATCCAGGGAGGGGTTGACACCGGTGGAGGCAGCCCTGGGTCGAGGGATGGTGTTCATAGCAAGAGGCAGCCACCCGATCTGTAGCTCCCTTCCATGTATTGCAGGGAATGTGGGGGCTCCTTTTCCCATATTCCACACTCCTGCTGGAGCCCACCCAAGTTCCAGGGCTGGGAAAGAGATGGCTGTGGGCTAGAGTCCAGGCCCCAGGCCCAGCCTCCCTGCCCCCCAGCCAACACCCTCTCTCCATGTGTAGCCTTTTCGTGCCTGTGGTGAATCTGGAGAAGATGTCCAGTCTCCCGAAGCCTGATGGACACGGAATCAGGGTGGCCCCACCCTCTGCTTTTCTTAGCCAGCCAGGCAGCCTCACCAAGGACTCCCTTGGAAAAATTCCCATGGCTCCCCCTTCTAAAGAACCTCCTGGCAGAGAGAGCATCGAGATAATCCCCAATGAGGGGTCCAGTCACCGGACCGAAGGCAGCCCTCCTGAAAAGGAGCCTGGTGGGGCCAGGCTGCCCCCCAAAACCCACCGGAAGATGGCTCGTGAGTAGTTGTGGTCTTGGGGCTCAGGAAGATAGAGTGAGGACTCCTTTGGGCTGCTTTGTCCTCGGGCCCAATGGGGAGGTCAGGAAAAGGTGGGCCTGGCCATGATAGGTGACAGGGTGCAGGAACCCCTGTCACCTCTTCACCTACTTGCTCCCTGGGAAGCTTCTCTGCAGCCCAGGTCTTCTGACTGAGGCTAAGGGAGCCCATGCCCAAGAGGTGAAGTTCTTCCTCCCTTAGGTAGTTGACCTTTACCTCTTTTCTCACCTAGATCCAGGGCACCAGACACACTTCACAGCTGGTTTCTCTGGCATCTCAGAAGCCTGTGGCTGCTTTTGTTTCTTGATATGTGTTGCCCCCTTTTGGGCTTGAAGTCGCCAAAATGAGTGTCTGGGATAGGAATGGGGATAGGGATGGTTCTTACGCCCAGCAGAGGATATTGGTGTCCAGAGGAGTTTCTCTGGAAGGTGGAGCCCAGACTTGAGGCCTGGAGGCACTTCTGCCTTAGTCCCAGTTCTTCCCAGTCCTTTGGCTGGAAGAAGCTAGATCCTTCCATTGGCCTCCTGGAAATGGCCTTGAGGTTCATTGAAACTGCTTTCCCCACAGGAAAGGAGTGCGACCTCAACAGGCAGTGTGGGGTAATAAATCCAGAGACCAAAAAGATCTGTACCCGTCTGCTGACCTGCAAGGTAACCCCCACTCCCCCTGCACAATGAGGGTGGACGGCACAGGACTTGCCCTCTCCTTCCCTGGGCAAGGAGAGGAATTTAGATGTTGTTGAAGATTCAGCTTGAGGGATGAGGGTTAGGCTCACATCTGGGAAGGAGAGAGGAGGCTGCCCCCAGGGGGCACAAAGTGGGATCGGTAGGCAGGGGGTGGCTTGCAGATCCCCCCACCCCAAAGAAGGGTTTTGGCACCGTGGGGGAGTGAAACAAAGACACGCAAACACACCCGCAAGCATATTCACACCCCCTCTCTCTCCTCTTGCCCAGGCCAGAGCATACTGCTGCCCCTCACCCCTGCTCAGCTCACTCCCCTCCCCAACCCTCCACCCTGCTGTATTCTAGATCCACTCTGTACACCAGCGCCGGGAGGTCCAGGGCCGGGCCAAGGACTTCGATGTGCTAGTGGCAGAGCTGAAGGCCAACTCCCGCAAAGGGGAGTCTCCCAAGGAGAAGAGCCCAGGGCGCAAGGAGCAAGCTCTCGAGCGCCCCTCCCAGGAGCTCCCTTCCTCAGTCCAGGTTGTGGCAGCGGTGGCTGCTCCGAGCAGCACCTTCTCTGCTCGTGTCAAGCAGACCTACCCATACTGTGCACTGCCCAGGTACGTCCAAGATCCAGCTCCACTTTACCTGGGGATACTTGGCCCCCAAGCCATAGGAACCCCTGGAGACAGGCTCAGAGAGTATCCTGGAAGATGTGCTCACTCGGTCCTGAGCGTGGGTGGATACCTGGGGCTCGGCAGTGGTGTGGAAGCAGGTGACTCCTCTATTCCTAACCAAGCATACCACAGTACCCCTGCTTCTCTGTAGTGTGCCAGATCCAATACCTGGGATACGAACATTTTCCAAGCTGCCTCCAACAGGCCAAACCTTGTAATTGGGGAGGCACAAGAGTCATGGTCCTGGGTGAGGTAGCCCTACTGTGTATTCATTCAATGGCCCCTTCGTGTGCAGAGGCTACGCTGGACCCTGGGGAGAGCCTGCCTTGCCGAAGGAGACATACACGCGTCTCTGCCTGTCACACGAGGGGCAGACACGAAACAGGCTCAGCTCACAGACAGGCTCACAGGAATATGTGATGCGAGAAGGGGGCTGAGAGAGTTGACTGGGCTGACCAGAGCCTGGTGCAGTTAAACTTGGAAGATTTTCTGGAGGAGGCGAACCTGGAGCAGATTTTCCCCCTGAGGAGGAAGGGTCTGGGAAGTGAAGGGGCTGGGGAGAGAATCCCTGGGGAGCTGTGGCCCCTGGTCTCTCTGTCTCTTACTCTGTGAGCTCTATCATTTTCCTCCTGTCCTTCCCTCTGTCTTCCTCCGATTGCCCGGCAGGGTGTCTGCCCTGGTGCCCTGCTTTTTGAGCTTGGTGGGTTCAGGGACACCCCTACCCTGACCCCACACCAGTCACATTGCCCTCACATCCCCTTTGGCCCTTCCAGGTCCCGGGCCTCCTCTGAGAGTGAGTTGGATGATGAAGGCCCCTGTGGTGATGGGGACCCAGGCCTGTTCCCTTTCCCCCTGCCCCGGGGTGGGGCCCAGGCCTCCAGTGAGGAGAGTGAGGAGGAGGGGACATCTGACGACCTCCACCTCCCCCCTGACTGCCATTATGCAACCCGGCCCCCACGGCCACAGGCGGTAAGGACCTGGGGCAGGGGGCTGGGGGGCGGCTGGCCCAGCCTTCCTGGCCCACATTATGGGGAGGAGGTCAGATCCTGTGTGCAGATGCCCTCCTGCACCTCAGGCCCTACAAACTATATACCTTCCTTCTGCCTCCAGTTCTGCACCTTTGGGAGCCGGCTGGTGAGCCCAGGATGCTACGTGTTTAGCCGCCGGCTGGACCGGTTCTGTTCGGCACTCAGCTCCATGCTGGAACGGCACCTCAGCTCACACATGTGGAAGTGAGTCTCTCGGGCCCAGAACTCCCCTTCCCAGGCCCCAGGCATACATGGGTTTCAGGAGCCCTGATCCTTCACACATCTCCGTAGGTGTACCTTGGCTGTTTTCCAGGAAGACCCAAAATGGGGAGTGGCGTGAAGAGGTGGGAACACTTAGCAGCCAGGAGATCAGCTAAGGCAGGGCATGAATGGGTGGTCTGAGGATGAATCTAGATGCTTATCCATCACTTCCAGTACCTTTCGGGTAACCAGGGTTAACGGATGCCCAAACCAAGATTTAAAATGAGATTCTTAATGGGTTTTCCTACTAGTTCATATACACTAGTAGTTCATTCCTTTCTATGCCTGTGCCTTCTTCTTAACCCTCAGTTCCAGCATCTTCCAGCAGATGGCAGCAACTCTAGGGCTCCGCTGGCCATTTCTAGGTGGGGCAGAGAGATTAGTGCGTGTTTGGGGGAGGGCCTTGTTTGCTTCACGGTCACAGCAGAGCTTTCTTTTTGCTACAGGAAGATCCCACCAGCGGCTGAACCTCCATCCCATCTTGTCAGTTCCCCCTTATCTGCTCCCTTGAGCCCATCCTCTATGGGCAGCTGCCCCCGCCTTCCAGGCCCACCGCCTCGACCTGCCTGCCCAGCTTCCACGCCCCCCACCAAGGACAGCCTTGTCCCCAGCTACCCTGCAGGCTCCCCCAGTGTGGCAGCCGCCTGCAGCCAGGCGGAGTGCATGGGCGGGAGCCAGGCTATCACCTCACCACTGCCTGCCAACACGCCATCCCCGTCCTTCAGCAAGCTGCCACCGTCCAAGGCCAGCAAGTCATCCAAAGCCAAGGACGGGGCCGAGGTGGAAGCCCCTTCTCGAAAGCGGAAGTTATCCCCTGGCCCCACCACTTTCAAACGGACCTGCATCCTGGAGCCCACTGGAAAAGGCAAACCCTCTGGCTGCCGGGGTCTCTCGGCCAAGACTAAAACAGCCCTGAGCATGGGGCTTAACGGGACAGTGGGGCCAAGAGTGAAGCGGGTAGGGCCCCTGGACTGTCGGGGTTCCCCTCATCAGCCCCCCACACCGGTCAAGGCTTCTCAGCTGGAGAACCGGGGAGTGGCTGGACACCCAGCCAGGGCCCTGCCCACCAACTGCCTCTCTGAGGAGGAGGTAGCCAAGAAGCGGAAAAACCTGGCCACTTACTGCCGGCCAGTGAAGGCCAAGCACTGTCAGGCCAGTGCGCCGGCTGATGTGGCCTGCTCTGTGCGCCGCAAGAAGCCGGGCCCAGCCCTGGCCTTTGAGGAGAAGTGCTCTACACTGAAGGTACCAGCCCAGCTCCCTGAAGATGGATGGGGGTGGGGTACACAGTGGCTACCTGACACAGAGAAGGTGCTAAGTCGATGTTTGTGCAGGAAAGGGGAGAAAGGGGAAGTTGAGAGAGTTCCTGGACTATCCCCTTTTAGGTCAGCTCTTAACAAGGGAACCTGTTTTCGCCTGGTGGACCTTGCCCTATCCCCAGCCCTTTCCCTGGGACTAAGGAGATACCGCACTTCTCTACCCCTGCTTTTGGTTTAATCAAAGGGCCTCTTCTTTCTGAATTGGCTTTGGCCCTCACTCCAGGTACTGGAGCCACTTCTGTCCCTTGAAGGAAAGGGAGTTTGGGTTCCTGAGCCGTGGCCTAACATGCTGAGCAGCAAGGTGGGTGGGTTGGTCTTACTCACTGGTTCTTCCTCTGGGAATCAGGGCATTAAAGGGCAGGTACGCAACTCGAGGTTCCGCATGTGCATGCATGCCCACCTTGCACATGTGCTCCCCTCTAGGTTTTCAGGCGACAGGCAAGTTCCCTAGGGTTGCCAGTGAAGCCTGCAGCCAGGTTTATTTGCCTCTTCTGGTGGGATCCCTGCAGTAGCATGCCGTGGGCTATCCATATGATCTCGGCAAGGAGGGACTTACTGGAGGTGGGACGGAGGGATGCCATCCTGGTTTAGGCACAGGCCTAAACCGTATATGCTCTCCAACTTCACTACCCAGGCGGCCCCTGTTGGGCTGGCCTTCATCGTCCCCCTTGCTTGGTTTTACTCACCAGCCTAGCACAAGGAAATCAAGCTTTAGCCCTTATAGTCCACAGAGTTCACTGGGTAGGACAACTGGTAGGCCCTCACCCTGACCCTGTTTCTTGCCTCTTGTTTTCCTGCAGTCAAAAGCCCATTAATGAGAAAGTGCCTGCCCACTGCAACGGAGCCGCCAGCACCTCCTCCCCTCCAGATCCGGGCCCCAGGCTGCTGCCGCTTTTTATAACTTTATATTATTTTTTTTAAGAAAAAAAATTCTTTAAAATACCTCAAGACTGTCTCCCTGTTCTGTTGCTGCTAAGAAAATATAAAAACAGAAACATAGAAAAGGAAGAAAAAGTAAAAAAAATGAGTGTCCTTACTGTGCCCAGCCCCGCCCTGGGAGGCTGAAATGATAGGCAGCCAGGCCCCAGCTCCCGTAGCTTGCCTGCAGATGTCTTAGGCTTAATTTTTTGGTTTTTTGGTCCTTTTAAATAGTGTGACAATGTCTGGGATTTGTATCATTGGGGGTCTTCTCTCCAGATAGGATGATGAGGTGTGTGGCTCTGAATGAGCAAGGCTCCCCAGAATTTTGACCCCAGAGACTATTCCAGTCCTATTGGGAAGGGAAACTTCGGGGGTGGACAGCCGCTGCTCTGGGACCCTTGCGCTGAGGGTCTGTGGGAGTTGGCTTGTGGCCCTTTTCCGGTCTTCCCGTGATCCTAGGCCTTCCATCCCTCTCTGAATTATTGCCTCAGTTGCTTCAACTGTTCCTGCATTTTCCTCCCTCTTACCAGCAGCCTCATTTTCTCAACCGCTTAGGGAGCTTGAGCTGGGTTGGTAACTGCTCTGGGATGTCCCTGATTTCTACTGGACAGCCTATGGGTTTGTTCTTAAGGAAGAGGCAGAGCCTCTCCCAGGTAGGCCTCCTTAGGCTGAACCACACCTGTTTTGGAGGCAGGAAGGGAAAAGATAGAATCACTTGCAGAACTTGTGGTGTGGGATGCCCTGGTCCTTCAGGCTCACCTGGCTCCTTAGGGCTGAGCAGCTGTTGAGGAGGCGGCAGGGCTGGGGGTGTCCTAGTTCTTCCATTTATCTCACTGGGGACAACTGCTGTGCAGATAGGAGATGGGACCTGCATCTCCCTGCTTTGGTCCTCAAACCTGAATTCACCAGGTGTAGGGCACTATTTTTTGGCCTTGTCCTCTCCTTTTATTCTCCTTGTTTTTAGGCAGGGAGGAATCTTGTTCCCTTAACAAGACAGAAGAGGAGATGACAGGAGAGCGAGCAGCCGGGGAATCCACTACCGAAGGCTGCTCAAAACACTGGTTTCACTCTTGGTTCAGCGTACCTACTGTGTGATTTGGGGTTTCACCAGAATTGGTTGCCACAAATGTAATTTCCGCAGGCTGCTTGGGATTTAGGCCCTGTAGACACACAGACACAAAGGAAGGTGGGCTGGGAGGTGTCCGGTCCCTTTCTGCCCATGGACTACCATGGGAGCGGGCCTCTCCCGGACGCACGCGCTTCCCCCCCGCCCCCTGAGGGCGCTGTGGCGACTCCGCTGCACTGCCGGTGGCGTCCCCGGGGAGGAGCCTCTCCTGCAGCCGCCGCCGCCTCTGCAATCGCAAACCCGGAAGACGGGCTCTGCCAGCGGGAGTGTGCGGGCCGGCCCGGCACGGCCATGCAGCCTCTGGAGGTAGGTCTGGTTCCCGCCCCAGCAAGAGAGCCGAGACTGACCCGCTGGCTGCGGAGAGGCAGTGGGATCTTGGCGCACCTGGTAGCTTTGGGCTTCACCATCTTTCTGACTGTGCTGTCCCGGCCAGGAACCAGTGAGTGTGCGGGGCGGGGCGGGGCCGTGGAAGGGGGCGGAGCCGAGCTGCTGGCGGGGCAGCGCTTCGGAGCGCCGGGAGACGTGGAGCAGGGTCCCCGAGCAGTGGAGGGGCAGACCGTGGAAGGGTTTAAGGGCTTGGTGGGGCGGGGCCCCGGGGGATCCTGGAAGGGTGGGGCTTTGAGTGTTGGGGGGAAGGGCAAACGATTGAACAGACCGAACCGACATCAGAAGTCGGGGCCCCGATAGAGGATACAAGTGAAGGAGGAAGGCGATGTCTATTCTAGGACTGACTGGGCTGACAGCTGAGAGGTGCCGAACGGGGAACCCAGGGCAAACTGGCGCATACTTATGGGGAGGCCCCTTGCCTGCCCCACTTTGCCCCGAGTTCCTGATTTCCGGTTAGGATTGGGGATGGTACACTGACCTTTCTCCTGTGGCCAGATTGTTTGGGTTCCAGCTAGCTACGGGGACAGGAACAATGGTGCCCAGCCGTCAGCCTCTTCTCTTTGATTCTCAGGTCTTTTCTCCTGGCATCCTGTATTCATGGCCTTGGCGGTGAGTTGGGGTTTCTGTCTGCAACTGATTGTTTGCATACGTCTAGCTTCACCCCTAGGGAAACATCCAGCCTTCAGAAGGGTCAGCTTTCCTAAGGCACAGGGAGGTGGGGGAACCAGCTAGGACCCCATCTTTCCCTGCAACCTATGGGACTTGGAAACGTGGAGGGCTGGGCCTTACATGGAAAAAAAAAAAAAGATCAGGTGGTTGAAAAGGGTGGAAGGGCATGGAAGATATTTCTTTCTCCCCTGGGGCTTGAAAGGAGGAAGTGGAAGGGGTGTTGTCCAGTTGTCTCCTCCCTTGCTCTCAAAGTTCAGGAGTAAGTTTAACATTTGCTGTTTCACTGGTCACGAAATGGAAGTCATTGTCTGTAGAGGCTGGGGTTGGGGAATGTCAGCTTGAATGACGAGACCTGCACACAAGTGCTGATTCCCAATGGTTCCCAGAAATGCTGACCAGGAGGTCTTGGAGGAAGTTCTTTAGCCCCTACCCTTTGTCCTGGTAGGGATGTATGAGAGAACCTCCTTTCTCTCAGGCCCCTAAGCCAGACCTGAGGCTTACTGGCCCTCTTTTTATGTTCACAGTTCTGCCTCTGCATGGCTGAGGCCATCCTACTCTTCTCGCCCGAGCACTCCCCATTCTTCTTCTGTTCCCGAAAGGCTCGGATCCGGCTCCACTGGGCAGGGCAGACTCTAGCCATCCTCTCTGCAGCCCTGGGCCTCGGCTTCATCATCTCCAGCAGGACCCGCAGTGAGCTACCCCATCTGGTGTCCTGGCACAGCTGGGTAGGGGCCCTGACACTGCTGGCCACCGGTGGCCAGGCACTGTGTGGGCTCTGCCTTCTCTGTCCGCGGGCAGCCAGGGTCTCAAAGGTGGCTCGCCTCAAGCTCTACCATCTGACTTGTGGACTGGTGGTCTACCTGATGGCCACAGTGACAGTGCTGCTGAGCATGTACTCAGTGTGGTTCCAGGCCCAGATCAAAGGTGCAGCCTGGTACCTATGCCTGGCGCTGCCCCTCTATCCAGCCCTCGTGATCATGCACCAGATCTCCAGCTCCTACTTGCCAAGGAAGAAAATGGAAATGTGAATTCCTCCAACTCTGAATCCAGATGGAACACTTGTCTTGGACTTCAGTGGTTCCTTTGGTGACCTACAAGGGACCCAACTTCAGAAGTGGTCAGGTTTTTGCACTTCTTAGTTGGGCCAGGAGCTGCTATTGTTGAGGGATAACTCAGTGGACCAGAATGGGGAAGTGTACTGAGTTCAAGTGGAAGGTGATGGGGACCTTGGTCCTGAAGCCTTCACTCCTTGATGGGAGATTGAGTATTGGGTGGTGGTGGTGGTGGTGGTGGTGGTGATGGCGCTGGTGGTCATTTCTTGCTTGTTTGCCTGATGAAGAGTTGGGCTCCTATAAGTTATCAATGGCAGCCATGGATATTTGGGTCACTTTTGAGAAAGCAGTGTGATATAATATAGAGAGCCCATGGGTCTTGTTTATGGGTTATGTCCTCTTAGGCTCTGTTATGTGAACCTAGGTTAGTTCCATATCTTAAGACTCATTTTTCTCTCTGTGAAATGTTTCTAAACAATCTCTAAGTCTCTTCCATCTCTAATATTCAGTGTCTATCAGGTTGATGTAACAGAACACCCTCCCAGCTCTGGACCATGTGGACCACTTAGCAGACTCGGGATGTAATTCTTACATTCATTCTCCCTTTACTCCTCTGTAGAGACAGGTCTGTCCTTGGGGCCCTTCAGAAATCTATGCTGATTTGGACCCTCGGCCGGGGCAGAAGGGGTCAGGCACTGTGGAGAGAAGGGACCCAGGTGAGGGTCTTCTGGACTCCAAGACAGTAAAGGCACTAAAGTCACTTTAAAGGTTTTAAAGGAGCAGAAGGCCATTGGCTTCAGTAAGCCTATGGCTCTTGGCTGGGCTGCTTAGCCCAGCTAAGGACTTCCTTTAGCCCACGTCAGGATCTAGGTTTGAGGGCTGCAGAACCTGGCTGCTTCTCCTGACATCCATTCTCAGGGCATTGCATGCTTTGCCCTTCTTAGGGCTCAGGTTCTTGCCTTAGCACATAGCTTCGTGGAGCTATTTCAAAGCTTTTAATAAAGGTCAAGGAAGTGGGGTGGGCTTTTCTATACAAGGAAAACAAAGTCTCCCTGGTTGCCCTTCTCCCCTTGTTATCTAAGCTTTCCTCAGCTGTTGTCTTTTGCCAGCTCTTTGGCTCAAGAGGGAGCTGAGTTTGGTGCCAGCTGGCAAATGAGGGGTGCGCCTTTTCCCTGCAGAGACCCCTCCTTGTTGCAGCTGAAAGTAGTTCCCCAGACTGCCCTTGGTGGTGAGGGCCGGATGCCAGACTGGTTAGCTGTGGTCTGGCTCAGTCGGGGAGATGGGACCTCCATAGATCATGGCAAGGACTGAGGACACCTGAGCCAGGAAAGCTGCTGCTGAGCCAGGTGGCTACAGCTCACAGGGAACTCTGGGAGGTCTGGGGTGTGGGGCTGGAGCTCCAGTTCCCGGGAGTACGGGGAGGCGTTTCTACATGTCAGTATTTTGGATGTCCCAGGTCTTCCGAAGATTCGGGTCCTCCTCTGTGGGTCGCTCAGAAGTAAGGAGGTTAGTGTGATTCAGTAGTACAGGAATGGGGACTGCAAGGGCAGAAATGTCCTCTCAGTGTACCTCACTGTGCTCCTCCTGGGTGACACTGCATCTCCCAGGAGCTCTCTAGACAATGAGCATCTAAAGGAGGCTCCTGTCGTGCAGAGGGGTGATTGTTCCTGTCTCTTTCATTGCCGTCTCTCCCCTCTCAAACCGTCCGGTGTGGTGTGAACATGGAAGAAATGGTTACTGGGGCTGTGTGGAGGGGAGTCGCACCTAGGGTGGTCACTTTCATCCAGGGATTCCATCTCCTCTCTTCTCATCACGGCCACTGTCGGAGGTCTCACCCTATCTGCGGCAGGGTCGGAGGGCCAGGTAAAGGGCACCGGCTTGCTCTGAGAGCAAGCAGGCAATGCGTAAAGCCTGAGCCTGCCTGAGGTGTTGCCTCCTCCCAGGTGGTGCGGGGGCTGATGGGCGGGCAGGCGTGCTGACAGCCGGCAGTTTGCGTGGGCTGTGCCATCTGATGTCTATTCCCAGCCCTGGGAGGAAGGGGGAGTCATTTTTATTCTGCAGGAAGAAGGGGCCCCAGCTGTCGCCTCTCTGACCAGCAGGCCTGGAGGGCAGAGGCACAGGGTAGAGATGGGGGCACAGGTGGTCTCCTCCTGCTTAGCCAGGTCTGACTGCAGTATAGGGAGTAAGTCACCGGGGGGGGGGGCCCTTCTTCCTGGCAGGCCAGATTGTAGGGGGGACTTCCCTCCCCTCCTGTCTTTCCATTTCTCCTCCATCACCACCTGCCCTCACATCCTGGGGCAGCAGCTGGACAACCATTAGACCTCAGTGCCAGGGCGCTCTTCCTCCAGCTGGGATCTCAGTGGCTACCAGCTGCATGTGCCTCCTGCTGGTGCGTTCCCTCCTCCCCACGCCTGCTATTCTCCCACCTCCCTGTATCTCCCAATGTCTGGGGTATAGTTGGGCTCCTCAGCAAGGAGGCAGAAGCCTTGCAGGAGCAGCAAATGGCTGCCTTTTTGCCCTTGTTCCCTGGCTAGGGAAAGCTGCTTGTAGTCAGCCTGTTTTGAGTTTAAAAAAAAAAAAAAAGTGCAGATTTTAAAAAATTTGCGTGTCATTTGCACAAATTTTCATATCAAGCTCACTAAGCCTTGATTCCAAATTTGATTATATTCCAAGTTTGATTATATTCAGACTCAACCTTGAGGACATTAGAAATATAGATGGTTTTTGTATCCAAATCTGAATGGTAATGAGATTACTCTTCTGGGTTTGAGTACCCTTCCCGAGCCCGGATCTTTCCTGTGACCACCCTTAGCAGTGGCTGGGTGTGGTGTCGAATGGCAGGAGCTGTGTCTAGGGATGTCGTCCAGCCTCACCTTGGCTCTTGAGCTGCATCAAAGGTAGGCTGCAGTCACTTGCCAGCCTGTGCCTCCTCTCCCCCGACCCTTCACAAGGCAGACTACCCTTCTCCGCTCCCTGACGCTGGCCTGTCCCTTCTTTCTCATTGTCCCCACCCTGCCACCCTGTGTATAGCTGCTGTGGGTCTTGTTTTAAAACCTCACTGTGGGAGACCCAGGCATCCTCCCTGCGCCAGCTGGCTGCTGTGCCAAGGCCTGTTCGGAGTTAATAATAATCATTAGCTGAATGGCGGTGGAGCCTTTCAGCTCCAGATCTCTAAGCACTTGCAGGCTGAGTCAGCCAGCCCTCCGGTCACCCTATTCCTGGGCTGCGAGTGTAACAGAATGGGGAGGCACTGTGGGAGGGGAGGGAGTTTAGGAGTCTTGTTGCCTAGCCACGCCTTGAGGCTTCTCTCCTCTGGGAATGGGCACTGAGAGTCCTCTCAGTAAACCAATAAGGCCTTTTGCATCTGACAAAGATCAAGGTATGGAGAGAACACAGTATATGCTTGGCTGAGACTAGTGGTGTCAGTGACAGCTGTTGACCTTGAACCTCTAGTACTCCTGCCCTTCTGTTTACCTGTCTTGGCTTCCATGGGGGCACCCTGGTCTTTATGCCTCAACCTCAGCATTGCTGGTGCTCCTTGCAAGCCTAAGTGCCCCTGATGCCCCTGTGTCTGGTTGGCATAAAGACAGTGTATCATGAAACGAAAGGTGCATTGGCCTGGGAGCTGGGAAACCTGCACTATGGGTTTACTTAGTCCCTAACACTGGTGTGGTCATGGACAAACCACTTGATGCTTGACCTACCTCACAGGGATGTTGTGAGGGTTAGATGAGAGAACGAATGTTAACAGGCATTGGAAAATTCAAAGCATTAAACAAATGTAAACAGGTGGTATTATTATGTTGTCTTTATCTCTTTCACTGAGCCTGGCTCTGGGCTTTATGCTTCTTAGGGAGGCAGTAAGCAGTCATGGATGATGATGCTTAGGGGACCTGAGTCTCAGGTTGTGCTGGTCATCCTAAGAGAACATGGACACATTTCTTTCTAGATGCAAAGTCAGTGCTTATCCACTTCTGCCAGAAATGCCACCAAGGCTATGACTATTGAAGTTTGCCTTAAGTGCTGCTTACCTGGTGTTTTCAAGTCATGGGGCTGAATACAGATCTGGGAGTCAGTATAATTGCCCCCTAGGTCCAATCTGAAGTTTCTGGACTGCAAGTCACAAGTCTATTTAAATCTCTCCTGCTTAATTCTGCCTTCTGAGGGAACAGTGGGGCAGACAAGCTGGGAAGAGAGGAGCAATAGTAATGAACACAGCACTGCCACCCTGACCCTCTGGTTTCCCCTGTAGCCACCGGGGAGCAACGCCTGCCTCAGGCACTGGAGATGCAGAGCGGTGACCCTGGCTTCCAGGGGTCCAAAGCTTAGTTTCCCTTTCCTTGTTTCAGGCTCTTGGAGTAGGATCACAGTCCCCTCCTCCTCAAAGTGCTTTATCAGAATTAAAATACATGCGCGCACACACACCATGAAAGCAGTTCTGTTTAAATTTTAAATTGGAGGAAGGATACTTTCCATTCCATTTGTCTGAAAGCAGCCAGCAGTCTGGAGTGGATGCAGAGAGGCAGGAACAATAGCAGGCAGAGGCTTGAATATTTGCTTTTTCTCTTAATTGTTTTTTCTGTCCCGGGATCCAGAAACAAATCGCTAGTCAGGCATTGTGGGCATAGCCTCAGCGGTTCTCGCCAGCATGGCAGAGAGAAAACATAGGTGAAAGGCAGGAGGATAATGCCCCAGAACCACCATGGAGGGCGGTTTGAAGTAGCCAATCTCCAGCACTGGGCTTAACGCAGATATAAATTACCTCCAGTAAGATGACCTTGCCCGGACCCGGAAGGCTTGGCTGTAGTCACCAGTGTTGTCAGACAATAACAATGCCCGTTTTTAATCCACCTGCTACTGTCAATTTCCCAGATGAGTTTTTAACCTTGTTGGAAGCAGATTAAGGAAGTACTTCAGGCTATTCTGTAGTATCTGAAGAGTCAACTTTCTATCTCACTGAGTATACATGAGTGGCCCCTAGTACCCCGGTCTTTAAAGCAGATTCCCAGTTATGGTGCTTTCTAACGATGCCCAGTTCTGCTTAGGTCCATACCAAAAGCAAACTACAACCAAGTGAGGGAGCAGTGGGAAGTGAGGGAAAAGCAGCACAAAGTACTATCCAACTCCAGTACTCCCCAACCTGTGTGGGCATTTGTGCAAACACACACACATACATCTTTGGGTGTCTTTGGGGGCGATGACTCTCGCTGTATGTATGCCAGTGCTGAAGGGCACGCAAAGTCCCACCGCAGGACTCCATGTCCTGGCTCACTGGAGGTTGGCTCTCTTAAGCCATGGTTCCACAACCTGTTATCCAAGGAGAGTAACCAGGCTGACTAGACTGGAAGGCCTCAGGGCAGGTCTAAGTATCCATTTTGTATTTTCCACCTGACAGTGTATAAGCCTGATAAAGGGGCTTGATTTGGCAGCTGCTTTAGCCTTCTTCTCTCAAGCCCCTGGAGAGGAAGCATCCAGCACAGGCTCATCATCCTACTGCAGGGGCCTCAGCCTTTTCTGCCATGTGGGAAAGTGAAGCTTCACCACTGGTTTCCTGGGAGATAAGGTAAGTGGTGCAAGAACTGCAAACGCAGAAAGAGAAGTTGAGAGACCAGGTGGAAGAGGGGCCAGGCGAGCCAATACACTGAACTCGCATCTTCTGTTCTAACGGCAACGGTCATATTAGCCCCCACCCCAAGTGCTGCCTAAGAGGAGCTAGGGGAAGTTCTGTAAGACATGGTAGACAAAATTGCACATCTCAGCCAGAATCTAAGGGCTTGGCATGGGCTAAAATAGAAGGGGGAACTCCAAGTAGTCTTCCCCAGACCTGTTCTCTTTACCAGATTCATCCTGTTGGCCAAACTTTTAGCCATAGCAAAAACTGCTTTGCAGATCAGAAACCATACATGCAGACTACAGGAGTGCTCTGGCATCAGCAGCTGAAATTTCATTGTCTGCCAAGGTTGACTTGTCTGACGGGGCTGGCTGTTAGGTGTCTCCATCCCTCATCATCTTGGTTGTTCCTCCTGAAGTGAAAAAGACAACTTTCCAGATAGAGGAGGGCTGCCCTTTGGTGAGGATTTTATGAATGTAAAAACTTAGGTAATTATTCAAATACTGATTCTTTTAATTTATTTTTTCCTGATATCATTTCCTCTCCCCCTTTGGCATCTACCCTGACAATTCCTTTCTAGAGGCACCAAGAGAGTAGCCAAAGAATTAGCATGGTCAGAGTGCAGACTCCAGTCCAATTTCTGGTAGGCTGTGTTTGTACCAAAAAAGTGAGGATTTCATTTTTCCATTCCATGCAATGCCTAGGACATATTAAACTGTCATTGAATATTAACCTTTTAGCCTAAGATGAAAATACTTTTAGCCTAAGATGGCTACCATTTACAACAGGAAAACAGACTGGTAATAATAAAAAATTTTGTGAACGTAAGCTGCTTCCCACTGTTTTTTAAAATCCAATCCAAGCATTTTCCCATAGTATGGTTAGTAGGCTTGATCCAAACTTCTAAAGAACTCTACAGGGAGGCAACTCGCCTCCCCAGGGATCCAGGAGGGCTTCGTTATCTACATGCCTTAGGCCCAAGTCATGGGATTTCTGAACTCTAAAGCCATATTGATATTTCTTCTGAGACTATCTCAGGGGTCGGCAAGCTATGGTCTGTTGGTCAAACCAGCCCGCTGCCTAGTATTATGTGGTCTGTGAGCTAATAATAGTTTTTACATTTTAAATGGTTGAAAAAACTCACAAGACATGTTAAGATTATATGAAATTCAAATATCAATGTCCATAAATAAAGTCTTATTGGAACAGAGCCACAATCATTCATTTATATACTGTCTGTGGCTATACTCCTGCTAAGGCAGCACAGTTGAGTTGTAGCAGAGACTATGTAGCCTGTAAAGCCCAAAATATTTACTATCTGTCTTGTTACCGAAAAAGTATGCTGACCCCTGATGTATCTTAATGCTGAGATGTGGATTTCCATGTCCTTATTTGAAGATTCTCTCCCTAGACAGGCCACACTCTTCTGAGGTACAGTGAACCCCACCCACAGGCTGAAAAGATAAATAAACCAGTCATATTGTGCCAGAACAGAGACTCAAGCCAGGTTTAATGATCATTGTCTAGTTTTTAGAGCCCAGAGGCTCCAAGGTTTGCCAGCCTGGGTGTACACACGTGGGAGAAACGGGGTTCTGGACATGGGGGGCCTGCTTGCTTTGCCAGCAGGGCTACAAGGAAGTACAGAGGTAAGAACACAGAAAACTGGAATCAGTAGGCTTTGCTCTCCCCAGATGGGCTGTACCCTCTCCTGGCCCCTTCCTGGGAGCCCCATAAATATAGGCCAAAAAAAAAAATCACAAATAATTACATAGATTGTAGAGCTCTGTCACACTCTGTCTCCAGGGACACCTGCTTCCTGGGACACATGTCTGGTTTATGGGTGCAGGGTGGAGTGTGGGGAGGAGGTGATCTCAGCCTGTTCTTATAACCATACCTGGTAGTTTTCTACACAGGGCTCTAGTTAGCTTACATATGCTGAGTACTCAATCCCCCATTTAAAAGGCTACCTTTGGGTTCTATCAACTGAAACCACAGGAAGAAGCTAATCAGTTAAATCTCTTGTTGGGGCAGCCAGGCACATCTACCAGGTGTCTCAAACTAAGGACCAACCTAGTGCATAGAGTAGGGAGACTCAGAGCTGCTGGCCTTCTCCCATTCCCTAAACTGGGTGAGACTAATGAAGAAAATGGCCCTGCTGGTCCTCAAGAGCTCCACCAGAATGCCTGCATCATTTGACACGCAATTTAAAGATTTTCAGAGCCCTAGATGGTGCCAAGAGGGGAAACTGTAGCATGGAAATGAGATTTTCCCAGGTTTCCTGGTTAAGTCTGAGGAGGGAGTCCTGGTTCCTATAGCTCCAGTAACAAAATCCTCAGAAGTCTCTGGAGTATAACCAGACAACTTTTTTCTCCTGTGAGGAGTTAACATAGGAAGAACAACTCACAGCTGGTTGGCCCCCTGCCCGTTTCCTTCTGGGTCCTTCATTGACCTAGTTCTATCTTAATTTCTCGTATATATAGCCTTTAATCTAAGGAAGGTTTCTGAGGAGCCTGAAGAACCAGCTAGCTCACCATCCCTTCTCCCAAGGTCCTCAACCCATGGTTCTCCTAACCCCAGCTTTTGCAGAGAAGTCATTCAGTGCCATGGAGATGTGGGTGAAGCTTCAGGGAGGTCAGAAATGAAAGTACAAGAGTTTGTGTATTTGAGGAGCCTGGCATGGTCACTGTCTCTCCTACAGGGCAAAAAATTGTGTGCATGAAGTTGTGCACATAGATGGAGACCATTCTGAGAGTAGCATTAGTGGGGACTACAGATTCACGGTCCTGATGGAAGTCAAGGTGCTGGTGTGCATGCATACCTATAAGCATGCATACCTATGAGCATGCAAGTACTTGAGGGAAATGCTGCACCTCTCTCTCAACAAAACTAGCTTACTAATAAAGGATGGACAGCAGTCTTGAGATCCCAGGACCAGACAAGGGGAAGATGTTGAGTTCTAGTCCCCTTCCCCAATCTTAACAGGAAGTTTAAGTCAGGCCCTCCTAACAAGCAGCCCTCACCTGCAGGTAAATAACACCTCTTCGAATCCAAAGAGCATGTCAGAAAACTAGAGGATCTGGAGAACTTCCAATGGACAAGAAATATGGGAGAGAAGAGACACTGAGAAAGACCAATGTCAGAAAACATTTTCACATTTGCCCTGCTCATCCTACTGCCAAAGCTCAGAGCAACTTTTCCAGGGCATGCAGTATAATCAAAGAGAAACAAAGGGATCAGTCATCTCCATACCCAAAGTATTCTGCAATCTTGGATGGAACGTATGTTGGGCACATTTTTTTTAAGTTCCTCCGACCTGACAACCACAACTGCACAGAGCTCTGACTGAGAGAGATGGGGTGGCAGAACTTTCCTTCTGAAAGTTTAGCGCTACTCATTGTCTCTGCTACAGATTACGTGGAATCTTGTGGAGAGGGCAGAACTCTAAGACCCACTCCCAACTGCCAGTCTGAGGCAGAGACCACCCAATTCCAACCCCTCTGATGATAAAATCCCATGCTTTGGCTTTGCAGCAGGAGTGAGATCTCTGAGCGAGGAATCCTTGTCAGTATAGAGGAGATACATACCAGGTCCCCTCTACCTCCAAGCCCAGTCTAACCCACCTGGGGCCAGACTTTCCTGGCCCCTCCCTTTGCAGAGCAGCGTATTGGGAAAACTCAGAATCCCATCTGAGCTTGATAGGGAGACTGAATGAAGAGATGGTATACACAGAAAATCAGGTAGGTCCAGCTGGATGCTACATAATAGAGGCAGATTTACCTTCATCCTCCTAGTGTGAAGCGGGCCCATGTACCACATCTGTGGCAGGCATCCATAAAAGCTCTGCCTTTAGCAGCCCCCACTGTGGTCTGACACACAGATGCTGGGAATCTAATGCTAACCAAGGGTTTCACCAACCAGGGAATTAGCCTATCTAGCGTTCACCCCCCATCTAAAAGTTCTGCACTGGCACTTCTGCTGTGACACAGATCTGTCAGTTCATGCTGTACCCCTCTGTGCCATTGGTCCTAGGATAAGGCACATCCCACCTTGCTGCCTTAACCAAACAGGCAAAAGGCCAGGCTCCTGCAAAGATCCATCCACCCAGGGCTTATCAGGAAAAAGGAAGGCTTTATCTCAACAGATTTGAGGAGTGTTATTGATTGAGGTCTCAGTCTTTTCCTGACTCATTTTATAAAGATTTCCAATTTCCCCAAATGAGAAGTATGACTTCCTGACCAAAGAAGATACCACAGCTTTCCCCAAGTGTGGCTCCTGTGGAAGCTCCCCCAACACACAGAACATCACAGGTGTGGGTGGGCAGAGACAGAAAAATTTTTTTTTCCAAATGGTTTTCTCTTAAGGAGCTAGTGATGACCTCAAAAAAGTTTAGGGCAGCTGCTTTTCCCCTCACTCCTTCCTCATTCCCATCCAGCTCAGACACGCTTCTCTTCCTCTACCACATTGAGAATTGTCAGGGCTTTGGGTAAGGGTGTAGCATTTGCCTGAGAATTAATATATCCATATTTGAAAATTATGGCAGCCACGCCCTGGTTGGGGTCTTGCCCTCTGTTGTACCTGTGACCAATTCCCTCGAGGTCAGGCGGAACCCACTCCCTTGGCCAGCCAGCCCTCTCTTTCCATCCCCTCATATCCTTCAGGGTATTACCTCTCCTGGGGCAGAATCTCCCCACCAACCCATCTTGCTCACACCACAATGGGTGTATCAGAGAAGACCGAGCTGACTGATTCTGGATCTGACATCCTCCGTTGGCCCTTGCCTGCTGCCTCGGGCACCGGCAAGGTGTTGCCTGGCTTGAGCTTGCCATTTTGACCCTGCCCAGGTCCAGCAGGTTCCAGGAAGGCCACCCGCCGGTCAAAACCATCATCTTTGTCCCCACCAGCCATAGGATCGTGGTTGGGTGTGGTACTAAGCATGGAAGAGCTGAGGCTGTCTCCTTGATGGCTGGAAGGCTTCTCTACACCCCGGCACCAGCAGCGGCAAGGGGTGAGGTATAGGTATATGAGGACCAGGACCACACTGAGGATACAGCCCACTAGGGTGGTATAGGCTGTGTTGAGGGTGTCATGGTGTCCGTGTAAGGTGGAATTGTACACTTTCAACTCCACAGACAGTGTCTCATTGAAAGTCTCCCCCATGGCATAGCAGGTATACACACCACCATCCTCGACCTGCACCTGCCGGAAATGAAGACTGCCATCCTTGGACACTGTTACCGTGCCATTGGCCACCTCATCTAGCACCCGTTCATTGCTTGGTGTCACCCACATCTTGGTCATCCCCTGCTGCTTGGTGTCACACTTGATGGTCAAGTTGTCACCCAGGTGGGCTTCCCAGGCACGCTCCTTGTACTCGCTGCAGTTGAGGAAACTCAGGTTGAAGACATTGTGCAGCTTCTTGGAGCTCATGCAGTACAGATCCTCCTGAAAGTCCATCACGGAGCTCAGCTGCCGGTACTGCCAGTGTGAAAAGAGTTGGTAGAGCTCACAGTCGCAGTGCAGGGGGTTGTTGTGTAGGTACAGCCCATTCTTGATCCACGCTGGCAGCTTCTGCAGGTCGGGCAAGGGCAACTTATTCAGCTTGTTAGAGGAGAGATCCAGGAGTGTTAGTTTGGGCAGCTTGGCGCCTTCCTTGACCAGTTCCAGAGGGAAGCGGGAGATCTGGTTCTGGCTCAAGTAGAGTTTCTGCAGCTGGGCCATGTCGTCAAAGGCGGAGCGGTCCACCGCCACGATGTGGTTATTGTAGAGCAGCAGCACCTCCAGCGCTTGCAGTTCACTGAACAGGAACTCGTCCAGTGTACGCAGCTGGTTGGAGGAGAGGTCCAGGTAGCGCAGGTTGGGTACTGGGGAAAAGGCCTCAGAGGAGATGAAGTTCAGGTGGTTGTGGCTCAGCAGCAGGGAGTGCAGGTGGGTGAGGCGGGTGGGGGTCCACTCAGCCCGCAGGCGGCTCAGGTTGTTGTGGCTGAGGTCCAGTAGTGCTGTGTAACTGGGCAAGGAATGGGGCACGTTGGGCAGCTGCTGCTTGGAGCAGCTGAGGATGTTGCTGGCGCACAAGCAGGCGGCAGGACAGCTAACCACGGGTCGGCCAGCTCTGGCCACCTCAAAAAGGAGCAGGAACAAGGACAGCAGCAGGAGCCAGAGGCCTCGCAGGTCACGCTGGGGTTGCATAGTGTCACTAGAGTGGGCGAGGAAGGCCACAAGGAAGATCTGGGAGGAGGTCACCCGGGCATGTTCTGGCGGGGTACAGAAAGGTCACTTGAGAGACATGGGTTTGTGGTCACAGAGGACTCTACAAGGAAGGACCACCTCTCCCACTTTCCCTCCCACCCCTACCTCCACCCCCGTTGCGCTAGAAGAGAAAGATGCTGAGTAGTTCCCAGGCACTGTGCAGGGGGTGGGCTCAAAATACTGGGGCAGAAAAGGAGGTGGCACAAGAGCCCACGGCGCTGGGGTCACAGGGGTGTAAAATGGGGTTTGCACAGGATGTCAGGAACTGTTGGGGGTCACAGGGATTGCACCGCCGGATTTGGAGGCGGGGTCGACAGGGCCTTTTGGGAGGAGCTGAGGGAAGGTCAACAGCGCCCCGGGATGGGTAGGACGCATCCTGATGGGGTTGAGGGCCCCCGGGGCCTGTAGGGACGGGCTCCCCCCGGGACCTCTGGTCACTGCACCTGCTCGGCGAGGACGTGTCTCAGCCCATGGCTGGTCCGGGAGCTCCGTCGCGGCCTCCCTCGGCGGTGCCCCACCGGCCGGCCTGTCACAGCGCCCGCCTTACGCAGGGGCCAGCGCCCGGCAACATCGCCGCCCGCCCGGGGACTCGCCGGGCTCCGCTCTGCTCACGCGCGCCGCCGCCCCGATTGCCGCGCCCGCCGGAACCCACCGACCACGGCCGCCGCTGCGGGGTCCGCAGGCCTGGGGTGGAGCGGTGCGGGGAGCGGGAGGCGCCGAGATCCGAGCGGAGAGAGCGGCGTGGGGGCTGCGAGCACCGCGCGCGCGCCCGTCGCCGCCGCCAGAGCCGCGGAGCGCGTGCGCGCGGCGGGGGCGGGGCGCACGTGCGTGTGTTTGTGTCGGAGCCCGGCGGGCGGACGCGCGCGGGGTCGCCAGCCGCGGTCCCCGCGTGGGGTCATTCTCTCTGAGAATGTGCCCGGGACGCCGAGCTGGTGATGAAAACTCAGGAAGCGGGGCACTGGTCCCTCAGGCTCCTCTGTTACTTCCCCTGCCACCATGCCCAACCCCCCGCGCCCCCGCCCCCAGTACTCTTCTTTCTACTTAAACGCACGCTCGGGAAAAGTATGTCTAACTGAAGTGAATTCGCTGCAACTGACTTGGGGCAAGAAGCGTCGTATGTCTTTTAATTTTACAAATTAAAGAAATCTGGCTCAGCTCCCACCTGTCAGTGTTGGCGGGAAATTCATTAGTCACGATTTGAGGTTCCCCCCCTCCCTTCTCTCTGGGGCTGTAAAGTCCCAAAATTTGGGGAAGGGTTTTTTCCTTCCCATTCTTGATATTACTGGTCCATGACTCCTGAGGTAGCACCGAAGGGCGCAGCTCCCTGGCCTGCAAGCCAGCTGTGCAGCAGTGGAGGAAGCAGGGGTGTCTTGCTGCCTGCAGTCCCAGGCCCGGAATGCCCCCTTCCCAGACACCCCATGCAGCTCTCCCCACTCCACCCGCTGCATGCGCACAGCGGCTGCATACAAGCCAGGGACGGGTTTCCATTCCCGAAAAACCCTTCCCAGCCCGGAGGGGGGAGTCATTCACCCCTTAGGCCTGGCCACTTGCCTTCTTCCTGAACCAGTACCAGCTTTCCCCCTCCCTGTATGGAGCAATTCCAGCATAGTTTCTCTATTACCTAATCCTCAAGACGAAGGCCAGAGGTGGGGTGGAGGGATCTCTTCTTTAGGGTGGCCCCTGAAACAAGAAGAAGATGTTAACCAGTGTATGTTGTTGGGAGCTGGTCGTGGGGAAAGGGGGATGTCGAAAACTTATAATTAAAGATTTTAGCTATTCTTGAGATGGTGGACTGTCAGGGAGAAATTACCTTTTTATTCTTTCTAGTCTCTTACAACAGCAAGACTAAGACTGAAATTAATGTCTCAATAGATTAGCCTGCTACGAGTTTTAAAAAGAAAGAGTTTATTTCTGTCACATAGGTTTTATCATGAATTTAAGTGAATATTATTATCTCTTCAAGGGGTATTAGCATGTTAACCTTATGCATGGTGTGAAAAGGTCTTTCTTTTCCTGTTCATATCGGGCATCAGCAAAAAGGTGGGGAGCGTATTCTTTTTGGAGGGCAAGGAATGAGGAATCCTGAAATCACGCTGCGTCAGTTATCTACTGCTACATATCAAATTATCCCAAAACTTAGTGGCTTACTACAACAGTATATATTTATTGTCTCTCACAGTTTCTGTTGGTCAGAGATTCGGGAGCAGCTTGGTGGACAGATCTGGTTTGGAGGTTTTCACGCAGTTGAAGTTGTATGTCAGATGGAACTACAGTCATTAGAAGGCTTGGCTGGGGCCATAAGATCAACTTCCACAGAGGTTTACTTCCATGGATCATTCATGTGGATGGCTGTTGGTAGGAAACCTTGATACCTCTCCACAAGCTGGCTTGATTGTCCTCACAACATTATACTTGACTTCCCTCAGAGCAAGAGATCCAAGAGAGAGCAAGACAGAAGTCACAGTGACCTAACTCTTCGAAGTTATGCCACCTGTCACCTCCACTTTGATCATATACACAAGCCCTGATTCAATATGGAGGGACTACACAAGGCACAAATACCAGGGTCACTGGGCGCCATCTAAGAGGCTGGCTATCACACACATCATCTCCAAAATCACATCTATTTTTTTTTTATCTTTTTGTTTTTTATTTTTTATTTCAGCATATTATGGGGGTATAGATGTTTAGGTTACGTATGTTGCCCTTGCCCCACATCTATTTTTTAATTTTGAAAAATTTCAAACATTTTGAAAATGTTTGTGAGAGAAACATACACAAAAGTAGAGAAAATAGTATAATGAACTCCCATATACCCATCATTCATATTCAATAATTATCAAGGAAATGCCATCATTTTATTTTGTATAAATATCCCTGAGAAACACATACTCTTCCGACCCCATCCCTCATCCCCACATCCTATACTAACATTCTGTAGGTTCCCGTGTTCTAGGCTCTCTCCTTCTCTCCCTTTCCTCTTCTGCTATGTTTAAGGGGTGGGAGAGAGACAGATACAAAGAAAGAAGAAGGCCCTTTATGCCGAATATGAGTTTCAAGAGTGGGAGCCTACAGTTTGGAGGGGTCACCACAAACATCGTCTTCAATCAGCCTCTTTTTTCAGTTTATCCAGAACTAACCATGCCCTTTTAAAATTTTGATGTGTGTACAAATCACTGGGGGATTTTGTCAACATGGAGATTCTGAATCAGTAGGTCTTCGGGGGTGTGGGAGTCTGCATCTCTGACAAGCTAACAAGGTGATACTGATACTGCTGGTCCACAGACCACACTTTGAGCAGTGAGGGTCTAGAGCTGTGCTGCCCCGACTGATAGCCATTAGCCACATGGGGCTACTTAAATTAATTAAAATTAAATGGCATTATAAATCACTTCTTCAGTTTCCCTAGCCACATTTCAAATGCTCAATAGACACATGTGGCTAGCTACCCTATTTAACAGTACATCATCACAGAAATTTCCATTGGATGGCACTAGTATAGAGAACCGACTCATAATAACTCTCCTACAGCTGCTTTTTAGCTATCTGTCTATCCACAACAAAAGAGGACCTGGGCAGGATAAATAGCAACAGGTTATTTTTAGTGAGTATTTATTTCCTCTTGCTGGAATGGATAAACCCAGTGTTCCTAAACACAATTTGGAAGGCTGTTTGGTTAGCTCAGTACTTGTGCAAAAGAGGTTGGATATGTCTACCAGGTTATGATCGCTTTTCTCCATGTTAGAAGTATTTTTTTCTTGGTTAATAACTAGCACTGGCTGTTAGAATCAGAATGGAGAATGCTGAAGACACCGTATTTAGAAGTTACCTTTTGACTCCATTTAAAAGATACCTTTTAAAGGAGGTTTTCCACCCTTGTTTTAGACAATGTAGTCTAATTTTCTGGGCATACTTAGATATTCCTTTCTGTGATTCCATTCCACGTTGTATACATGTCCTTAAAGAACTTTTCATATTATATTTTAATTGGTTCTGTAACCAATTGGATCTGTTTCCCCATTAGACTGTAAGCTCCTTGAAAGCAGGGATTTGCCCTGGATCTGACTCCTAGTAGACATTCAAAATATGTTTGTTGAATTCATTAATCAATTAATAATTGTATCAAATTAGCATATTTATAATACGTTAGTTTCCTCAATGGCTGGTGTAGGGGTAAGGATGGAGCATAGGTTTGAATGAGGCTTGAATGAGTCACAGCTGCATAGTGGCTGTGTGATTTTGGGTATTTCACTTTGTTCTATTAAATCTCATTCCATTATCTCAAAAATGGAAACAGTAATAATACCTGGGCTTGCTTTATAAGATTATTTTGGGGATCAAATAAGATAACACTTGTAAAAATGCTTTATCACTTATAATTATTATCTTTTTAAAAAAACCTAGTTTTGGCTGGACATGGTGGCCTAATGCCTGTAATCCTAGCACTCTGGGAGCCCAAGACAGGAGCATCGATTGAGGTCAGGAGTTTGAGACCAGCCTCAGCAAGACCAAGACCCCGTCTATATTAAAAATGGAAAGAAATTAGCTGGGCAACTAAAAATAGAAAAAGTTAGCCAGGTGTGCTGGCACACGCCTGTACTCCCAGCTACTAGGGAGGCTGAGGCAGGAGGATCACTTGAGCCCAGGAGTTTGAGGTTGCAGTGAGCTATGATGATGCCGTGGCACTCTAGCATGGGCAACAGAGTGAGACTCTGTCTCAAAAAAACGACAACAAAAAAAAACCCCTAGTTTTCTTGAGAGTTAGGAGATTCCCTGGTCTCAATGTTAACACACATACAGATTACCTTGCACAATTGTCTGCCTTGTCCTTGCATTCTAGGGTATTGCCTGTTTGGAACATTCACTTATATTTTCAAGCTCTCCCTCTCTGGCCTAACTAGCTTTTACAATTGAAAAATATTTATAAATTTTAAATAGAAATTTAAATGTTAAAAAATTTTAAATATTTTAAGTATTCTTGCATTTTGTGGAGAACCCCAGTGATGTAACTAATATCAGCAATTTTTATAGTTCTTGAGTGTCTCCAAAAGCAGGGGGGCTCTAAAATGAGGCTATTTTGGGGTGGGTGGCAATAAAGATGAGTTCTTTGTTCAGAATTGCTTACAGGGCTAAAATTTTAGCCCTCACCATTAGATTGAGCAATCTTACTTTCTATATCTAGCGGTTTACCCATGTTTCCATGTTTGACTTGTCCCTGAAGGTGCTCAGTCAGGAGGATTCCTGTTGCCATCCTTCTGCCTCCACCTCCATAAACCATCACTCATTTCATTGAGCCTTTTAACTTTTTTTTAAGTTGTTAATATAACTTGCCCCTTAGCATGCTCACACACTGATTTATTCAATGTCCAGGAGGCAAATACTCCCTCTTTTTAGACAACTTGCCTTGGACTCCATCTTTCCCCACTTCCCGGAAGCTCCACTTAATCTGCGGAAACCACAAGGATGTACATATTAACTAGGGGCAATTGACGGCTCACTGGTGTGGGTTGAGGGATGCTATGAACACCTATCAGTGTCCTGGGCTCTTCAGGTTTGTCAGACATATCTGAAGGCACCTGTTTAATCCACAGCTCATGCTCTCGGTCAGGGCTATCCTGCCTCCATAGAGGTGACCGCTCCAGATGGCTAAATCATGAACATTTTCTTGACTTTTGACACCCACGAATGGACATCTCAAAATAGTCCTACATTGAGTCATCAGATAGATGTCTTTGAACTATGGCTGAACAATACAATCATGGTTCAAAATATTATTAATA